GTAATTTTGTATTAAAAAAAATTAAAATAAAGAATTACAATTTAAAATGTTGTAAATGTTTGACTTAAATTTTTTTGCCTCAAGTCTCAAATAAGCTTAAGGCCTCGTTTGGGAACATGCTAATTTAGTAATTTTTTGGTTATTTAGCAAAAATATGAGCTAAAAAAAACTAGTATGTTTGGGATGACTTTTTGGCTTTTTACAAAAAGATGTGTAAAAAGTAGAGAGAAAAAAGAATCTTTGACTTTTTGGTATGAGTTATTGGCTTTTTAACTAATTTAGTAACTTTTTGACTTTTTAACTAAAAAAAGACGGTTGCCAAACGTGGCCTAAGTTGCCTCTCTCCCAGACCAATCGTAAACTTGTTTTGGACAATTTTTTGTGATGACGCACCCGGAATTGCAATAAAAAATAAAAATAAAGATGGAGAGGATATGTCACAGATGCTTAAGATGAAAAGTTATTTCAAAATAAAGGGCAAGATTTGATATATATTTTCATCAACACATGTGATATGGGGCAAAAACCATTCACCTAAAGAATCCTAATCCATTGGCAAATGTGTCCCTCATCATTTTCCCATTTGGTTGTCAAACCAGGGTTGGTTTGGCATAAACTAAATAATACAAAAAGTCAAAAAGTCACAATCTTATTTAAGTCACATCATCTTATTTAAATCACATCATCTCTCTAACACATCACATCAAACCCAACCCAAACCCAACCCATATAAGTCAATAAGTCAATAAGTCAAAAAGTACACTTTTTTAGAACATCCCAAACCAACCCCAAATGTCACTTTTCGACTGTGTTTGAATTATAAATTAAGTAAAAAATTTTAAAAAAAATAAAATTAATAAAGATAAAATGTGAATAAAATATAATTATATTTTTTTATTTTCTTTTTAAATTTCTATCTAAATATATGATCCAAACACAACTTTATTACCCGTGTGAACACAACGGTTGAAATAATCCTTTTGTTTTTGTTATCATCAAGAATCAGATTCCATTGAATGCAAACAATCTTGTTTGCAAAGCCTTTAATAATTAAATTCTTCAAGCATTTTTCAGTACTCATAAAAGACAAGCCTTTTAGGCCACTCAATTCCAAATAGAACAAAAGGGATCCATTTAGCAAGTCTTGTTTTCTATGAGGAAGGTTCATTGAAGTAGGCTTTTTAGCCGTCCGTACACCACAAATCATTTTAATTTATATGGGATTTTATTTTATTTTATTTTAATATTTGGTACGATGAAAAACATTTTTCATTGAAAAGAAATTTCCCCAAAACAAATGGAGCACCGACATTCATAAAGTTTTTAAGACAAAAAACTGTCTGTTTGGTTTTTATTTTCGTTTTTAAAAATCATAACTAGTTTATAAAATATAGGTCAAATTACACTTTACTCCCTTAAATATGAGCCGTTATCACTTTATCTTCCTCAAAAATATTGTTATATTTTACTATCTCAATGTTTTGATTTGTTTCAATCTTAACATTCTTTTAACATTTTGTTATAAAAGAGAATGAAAAAAAGATGTTTGAATAGCTCATACCAATTTTATGATCAAAATGATCATTTAATAACTTATATATATAAACATGTGAGAAAATATATGCACAGTTTAATTTTTTTGACTAGATGAGAATATATATATATATATATATAGGGTCGAGCTTGTCTCAAATTGAGATCAAGACTGGACCCATCCAGTCAGGCCCATGGGGTCCATTTTTTGGGCCCGTTTTGATAATCTGAACCGTTGGTGTGTAGAACTCGTTGAGTACTATATGCCTGTAAAAAATCACGTTGATCGGATATCAATAGTTATGTGATCAAATCAGTTTTGTATTAAAAAAAATGGACGGTAAAAAAATTAACGGTTGATAAAAAACTGTTTTGTTCACATAGCTATCGATATCCGATCAACATAATTTTTATCAATCATATAGTACTTAACGAGTTCTACACATTGAACGGTTCGAATTATCAAAACGGGATTCATGATAGGCCTTCACGGGCCCAATAGCACGGTCCAGTCCGATCTTGGACTGGACCAAAGCCACTGCCATATATATATATATATATAAACCACCTCTTGAATAAATATTTCAATCATAATGCATGCCACTTTAGCAAGTCTTATAAATTTTTTTAACTAATTGATATATACAATAAAAAACTTTGAAATCTAAAACAATCCTTACTTCAATAACATGATAGGTGAGAAGTCAATGAATAAGAAAAAATCATAAAATTTATGAGTTTGTGTAACATCTAGACTACGATATGAAATCTAGAGTAAAGTTGATGAAATTTGAAGTAATATGTTTTTTTTCTTTTTTTTTTTCCCCGAAAATGTTCACATAAGAACAATTATGCCATACAAAATCGCTTCAGTTTTTTTTTTCCCTCTACAAAATCTCCCAAGTGCTTCAATTGTAGATTTCATAACATACACAATGTGTGCACAACCACCAAGGTACACCTATAATAATACTAATAATAATAACCAAATTAAGAACAAATGAATACACCAAGTTGGCAGTTAAAAAGAAACAAAAACTTAACACAACATAGAAACAATTGGTTGAGTGTTACCTAACTTCATTTTTCTGTTGTTCTCGAGGAAAAATTCATACCTAAAAGATAGGTCTAGCTAATGGCCAAGCAAAAATCAAAAACATGTCCCACTAATCAAGGACTAGGTTGAATTGAAAATCATCATATTTTTGAGCCACATATGCCTAACCTAATTGGGTGTATGTTTCATGGGGTAGTTAAAGAGAAAGAGACAATGTCCCAAAAGGTGGGACTTCTTACCTTTACCTTTTGTTAATGGTTCAAATTTTATTTTTTTTGTTTTTTTTAAGTTCAACACATAGGTTAAAAATCAGTTTATGTTCACAGTTATAAGTTATAAGCTGTTAGACTATAAGTTATAATCAATTTCTCACAACTCTACCAAACAAGGCCATATATTAGGTTGGGAAGAATATGAAAAGTTTGACATAGTGAATGTCATGTTGTGAATTGTGTTTCTAAATGCAAAGGCATGAGGTGAAGGGCCACACAATATGATCAATTTATCTCATGTCAACAAAAAAAATTACACATTGTTATGTTTTCTATAACACCAACACACATCAAAATAAGTACATAATCCAACGGTTTAAAAATAACATTAAAACTATACATCCTAAAATAACATAATATTGTTGTAACTTTAAACAAAAATCATTGAATTACCATAATAAGATTATTGCACCATTATAAAGAATCTTCATCCTAAAATATCAAAGCAAATAATGAATTGATAATAGTTAGTGTAAGATATTTTTTGAAATATTTTATTTATGCATAATATGCGCAAGTACACCATGCTATAGTATGATTTAATGCTATGCTAAACTACGAAATTGAGAAATTCTCCACAAAAACTAAAATTTAGAAAAAAGAAGGAAAAAAAAGAGACGAAAGAAGAGCAGTCAAGTGCTCATGGAGAGCCCCAAAAGAAAAATACGTGTGGCTCATACCGTGGGTCTCATATATGTCATGAGAGATGAGTATATCACCGTAATCTATTCATTAAAAGTAATGTCAACATAGTAGAATCAAAAGCAGTCAGACAATTCAAGCAACCATCTCATAAACAAGGTTACTCTCAACAATTAGAAAGTTATCAATCTAGCATATTCTATTGGTGGGTTAAATACCTAAAACATTTTCCAGTATGCAATGCTGCACAACAAAAAGAAAGAAAAAACCGATCAAAAGAATACAAAAAAGAAAGAGAAAAAGAAAAGCAATAGTTTCCATAATTTCCATTCCATCACCTCCACCCTACCACTACTGACACCACTATCCCCGCCACCACACAACCACCATTAACACTGCCGCCACCACCTCACTCAAACTAGTTTAACTGGCAACAATTATATATAAAAAAAAAAAAAAAATGCCTGGTAGCAGCATCAGAACAGATACAAGCAACAAAAACTTCCCAACTCCGACCTTTTGTGAAAGAAATTAAACAAAAACTTCTTTTGTAAAAGTGAAGGCAGTGAATTGATTAGAGCCAGATTCAACATATAATTCATACCTGTAATTGTGAAATTCAGCCATCAATCTGGACTTCAATCCATTGTATATTTTTAAACACGGTAGCTAGTTGCAATCATTACATGCAAACTTAGTAATGAAATCATGGCAAAAGGAAGCAAATTTTAAAAAGGCGTTACAGCAAAATCAAACCATATTTTTCCTTCCCCAAGTTCACACTCACAAGTCATGGCGATCAAAAAAACAGTAGGACCAAACTCCTTCAGTAAAAGAAGCCAAAGAACAAACAAGAGGCAGGTACCAAACATAATTGCACAATAAATTATAGAAAAGCCAACACAAATTAACAAGACCATACTTGACACTTCAGAAGCTCTCAAAAGATATTGATCTAAATTTTGATTGAGAATATTAGAAGTATTCAAAAATATGTTCACCAACAATTCAAAGAATCTCATTCTTGCTACTAATCAACTTCAACATTGGCCATAGAAATAGAAAGTCACTTTTGTAAACTCCCTAAAACTCAAGGGTGCATATTAGAAACACAAACAACTGACAATGTGAATCACTGTTGTCGGGCTTCAACTTTCTTCTTCTGCCAGAGCCTATCAACAGCACTGTCAGCATCTCCCTGAGAAATAAAGACACTGAATCACCAACTGAGTACGACACTAGTAACAACAGCCATATCCATACCATAAGTGAAAAACCAAGAAAACCAAATGCAATGCATTGGCATCTCCCCACAAGCGAACTCTCAATCAAGAAACACCTTAGACAATAAAATGCAGAAAATAAGAGAGAATGGAAATTTCATCAACCAATTGAAAGTTTCGAAGTATTGAAAATTGCCTAAAGCTAACTCATAGCATAAAGAGCAGAGCACATGGATCTCTTTCCTTCACACGCAAAGTGTAAAAACTTTTTTATTACCATTCTTCCTCTCCAGAAATACTCTTTTGAATCCCCAGCCTTCAGAATTTTTTCATATGAGAAAGAGTTTTCCACCTCTCCAAAAACATCCACCCTGCCTAAACTGAATTAAATGCAAACAGCAATTTAGTCAGAATTTACGGTTTACTTTATGAAATATTAGTTGGGTTCAAATGGAGAGATGAATCAACCAACTTGATGCAGACTTTCACACTCCTTCCAATCTCTCCCAAATGATATGACAACTTAATTCAAATTTTTATATTAAATATCTTCAAGACTTCTATATGAATTTCATTTGTTCTATATCTAAGAAGCACAGACACAGACACACCAATACATGAATTTTAAAAAAAATGCAAGACACAACACATGAGGTACACGCACAAAATATATAATTTTATATATTTATTATATGTCATATATATGAATATTCCATTAATAGGTAAATAAAATAAAATAGAACACTAATTGCTAAGTGTAAAAGATAAGGGATTAATAAGTATTAATTTACATTATTTTTCTTTTATCGTTGTAGAAGTTATTTTATATTCAAACTTATAGTATATTTTATGTGTATCTAAGTGATGGACATATGTCTCCTGAGTGTCCACAGCAAGTCTAGGTCTGAAAAAGATTTTTTAAAAGTAGTAACACATTGGGATGTGTATGAGTATAACACATGTTGGGAAGTGTCCGAAGGGTGTTGGTGCCGGAAATGTGTCAGACACAAACATGACAAAGACATGCACCTTCTTAGAAATGTATGTACTTCTTAGTCTTCCGTTAAAGGCCTCAACAGAATTGATCAAAATTGCTCGATCATGTCCAACATTGACAGCTAACTTCATACATTAACATAGTTGTTTAGGGGAGTGCAGGAATTTGGTATACACACCAATATGGGCAAAATGCAATTCACACATCATAACAACGTCAAAGAAAAGATTGGAGGGTGTGGGTGATTGATCCAAAAACCATCTGATGCATATTACTTTCATCGAACATAACTGACAATTCATATTAGATATTGTTAAGCTAGTAAAGTAGCATCAAAAAGGAAAATTTAAAACACAGACTAAAGTGCAAAACAATAACAACAAGAACATTACTTATGCTTCAAAAGGCATTATAAAAGCAAGAACAAGAACCTGGGCACGAACAAATCCACAGAGCGCAAAAGTGGTGAATTGACCAGTATAACAGCCAGCCTCATCCAAATGCCCAACGTTAATTTGGACAGATGCATGATCCTTAGCAGTGATCAGCCTGTTTGTGGCAGAACTGCAACAACACGAGAGATAAATGGGTCAAACCTCCCATAGCCAACTTAATTGATATTAGCCTAAGAAATTTAAAAGAAAATATGAAATACAAACAACGAAAATAAAATTCAATAAAAAATATACCACTTCCTGGGGATGTAAAGATCCATGTTCTGTCCCTCCTCATTCTGCATCTTGGCAAGATTGGTTCAAAAGCCAACAACTTTGCAAAGCTCAAAGCACCTGAATTTGACAAGACAGACAAAACTAGTTCGATAAGAACAAATCAAATTACCCAGGTATTTGAAATATTTTTTGTTTGCCTTTTTGGACTGGGTAGGATGTTAGTGGATTGGAGTGTGGATCAAAGCATTGGTGTTATTGTGCATGACATTTTGCAGCTATGTCGTAGCTTCGGTCAAGTGCATTTTAGTTTTGTGCGTAGACCACTGAATAATGTTGCTCACTCACTGGCGCAGAGCTGTGTTTTCGGGGAGGAAGTTCAATGTTTGGAGGCAATCCCCCCTTCTTGGTTAGTTGGTCCTCTATTAGAGGATGGCTTCCCTGCTTAACACCTGATATTTATCATTTTTTTATGAAATCCTACCTTTGAGAAAAAGAAAGAAAAAAATAAACAATAAAAAAAAGGTGGATCAGTAAAGCCCATTAGGCTTGGGCTAGCCAAAGAGCATAGGCCTAATTTTCTTGAGCTAAAACACCTAAAAGGCCAAATTTCCCGCATTTGGCTATCCCAGTTGGGATTAAAAAAAGATAAAAGATAAAATAGACTAAATAAGTCAATAAGACAAAATGTCATATCCAAACTATAATCATTTCATTTTTTTTCTCACAAAAGTCAAAAAAAAATAAAATTTGTCAAACGAACTTTTTGCCAAATGGCAACAAAAAATAATCTTTTTAGCAAATGCCAAATGTATTAGGGTTTTTACATTCTAAAAAATGAATTGCCAAACTCCACCTAAGACCATCTCCAACGGTGAACCAAACCCAGCATCAAATTCAAATTTTGATGAAAAACCTACTTTTTCAAGCTCCAACCGTTGCACCAGATTGATATCAAAATGAGATTTCAGCAAAAAAAGCATCAAACTGAGAACGAGACACAGATTTTACCAAATCACTGTTACTGACCGTTGAAAGAGGTACACCGGTCAACCAGCCGGTTGCCCGGCCGGTTGACCAACCGGTCAACCAGTAAAAGATTCAAACAGTTCAGGAAAAAAAGTTCAAACCGTTACAAAATAAATAAATAAAAAATTTTGCCTAACCGGTCAACCGGCCGGTCGACCACCCGGTTGTCCCGGGACAAATTTGGTGAAAGGTGAACCGTTGGAGCGAGTGGTATCAAATTTAGTGAAATGGGCCATTTTTGACTCAAATTTGATGAAAAATTTGAGTCACCGTTGGAGATGCTCTAAGGTCTCGTTTGAGAACATATTTTTTTAGTAACTTTTTATCTTTTTAGCTAAAATATGATGTAAAAAAATTAGAATGTTTGGGATAATTTTTTAATTTTTTTCGAATAAATGTGTATTATAATATTATAATAAATATACAAATGACCTGTTTGCCCTTACTCCCCTATTTGTCGTAATGACTGTGCGTCACGTGAAGTGCTAGTACGGCTTGTGCATGCAATGTGTGGTGGGACGCCTCCCGGGAAGATATATCAAGTTTTTATTTATTTATTTATTTATTTTTGCGAAGAAAGAACAAAAGCAGGGGCATTTTGGTCTTTTTGGCCTCTGACCAGTGTTGTTGTTTTCCCGTCCAAAAAAATGTGAATAGTATAAACTTTTTGGCTTTTGTAGTGACTTTTTGACTTTTTTTCTTTTTTAGGTCTACCCAAACACCTACTAAGTTGAGTGGTTACTAAGTTGACTTCGATAATTTTGGTAGTGAAAGCAACAACATTGGTATTTCAAACATAGGCCTTATTGGCAGTCTCAACTTCTTCGACTCTCAGCCCTTGATTCAAAGCATCCTCAATTTGTATCCTAATCTCGTATAGGTATTTGAAGTTAAATAGAGGAAGGTCAACCATCATTTTCATGAGCCAATTTTGCATATTCTTTATCACCATTCGGACTTGGTCCTTTTGAGAAGGTTGGTTTGTTATTCTAGCAGATTTACTCCTTCAACAAGTGATAAAGTTGTTGAATTTCTCCTTAGGTCTTGTCGTGTAGCTGATCAAATTAGTTGGGTACCATGGCAGCCATTCAAAGATTGGCATGGTGATTTTTGAAGATCCTTTATCATATCTTTCCCTTTCAACAACTTCTGCCTTGTCATTTTCATTCTCAATGGACTTCTTCTTCTTCGTGATCTCATTTTTACTGACCTCGAGGTTTTTAGTTTCTACAGCTAAATTGATGCTTAGTTGTTCTTCATCTTGCTTTATTCTAAATTTTTCATCATTTTATTCACTTTCGTTACAATCCATGCATTCTTTGGTTGGATTCTCACTTTTAACGATTACTTCATCCACAGTCTTACCATCTATATCTTGGTGCTCCTCTTCCCACTCAATGCCTCATCCATCACATGCCTATAAACCGTATGGATGGATCCCACCACTAGAATTGTACATCTCCCAAATCATATTCCTCAAAGAAATTGAGATTGTCCATTTCTTCCACTAAATCTTCCAACATACTAAGATCATGCTCCTCCACATATGTATTCATAGCATTGACATTAAAGAACTCAGGTATTATGACATTCAGCTTAGGTCTGTCCGTTGGTACAATGTACTAACTTGGGTCAAACTCCATTGCATGCGTCTCCCCCTCTTCATCGAACAAACTCCCTATAAACCAATCATCATCAAGTTCCTAAGGGAAAACCCTATTTTTCTCTTGACACCTCAATGTTGTGAGCATTAGAGTATAGCGAATTTCAACATTTCTGGCTTCTTTCCATTGGTTTATGATCATATCATTCTACATATCCAATTTCATAAATTTCTTTATCCAAAAGCTCTTGATTTTGGCAGTAATCTATTCCACTTCTGCCGAATTTAGTTCAAGATCACTATCTTCCATCAAAACATCTTTCATCTTTGTTTCAGTACCCTTCTCTATTAGCTCAGTTTCTATCTTGGCAAACACCGAGGCATTACTACATTCCTTCCGACTAGCAATTTTACTAACTTCTTCATATAACTTCTTTTGTCGTTCAGCCCTTCTGCGCAATGCTGCTAGAGCCATAACTCTTGGTACCAATGTTGTTACAGGTTTTGGTAGGGATGCACCTAAGACGCACAAGTCCATGTTCTCAGGAATGTACAATGCCGGTTTGGGTAGGTAAGATAGGATGATGTATAGGCTAGGGTTGAAGGTAGAAAGTGTATGGATAAGATTAAAATTCAGTGGTGAGGGAATTTAGCATGGTTTAGGAGTGGATTGCTGGTGACATTTGGTTTCTGTGGGGGTACAATGATTTTGTTGTCTATGAGATTTTAGATTTCATGATAGAGGTGGAAACTATAGACGACCCCGAACGCCCCGGGAGGATGAGTCCCGTTCTATTCGTTTTTTGGGTTCACTATAGTTCAGGACTCTCAAATTGTCTCGGTTCTTAATCTGAACCAAAGAGTCCAAATTCGGCAAATCGTTTTGAGAAAAAAACAGATTTTTAGAAAAGAAGTGCCAAACATGGACTGCTTTTCCAGATACAGAGTCGCCACCTAAATATTTTTTATGGGGGAATT